TCTCAAAAGTTAGTAATAAAAATTCCAGGATGCTGGTCAGATTCCAGTGGTATTAAAATACAAAAATTAAAAGGGAATTGTTAGTTGCTATACTTCACTCCAAAATGTAACATTTGTAAAAGCATAATTAATTTTTTTAATAAATGGGAGAGTGATTGCACGTCCCTACCACATTTAAAATAGAATCCTTTTTTTCCCCAATATCAGTCACACTTTATTAATAGTTTCTTGGAACATGGTGGACCCTTTCATTCTATGATTCCAGGCTTTTCTTTATTTCTAGAAAAAAAACCTATTTTATTTGTTTAATTATAAAATAAAAACTTTTTGAATAGTTCACAACACTGCATTGAAAACTACCCAATGAAATACTATGCAGACATTCTAACTGATAGTTGCAAAGAATACATCATTACTAGTATGTGGGGAAAATAATGTGACAGAGACTACTACATCTCTGCCAATATCCAATTTCCCCTTCTTCCTTTAATAAGAACCCCAAACTTTAGGTGGATACAGGGGTCTCCTATTAATGATTACACTTTCCAATCATTCTAGGCATAGTTCTGGCCAATGGAATTTGAGTGGGAGTAATCCCTATAGCTTTCAGATTGTGCTTTCAAGGAAGGGAATGTATTACCTTTTCCCCTGGCGAAGGTGCAGATGTGATGGTGGTACCTGGAGGAGCTATCTTAGACCAGAGAGGAAAGCTGTGGGTTACAGTTGGCAGAGCAACAAGATAGAAGGAAACTCAGCCCCTGACCAACTCATGGATTTCATGGGAAAGAGCTATTGTAACAGTTAACCCCAAACTTTAGGTGGATACAGGGGTCTCCTATTAATGATTACACTTTCCAATCATTCTAGGCATAGTTCTGGCCAATGGAATTTGAGTGGGAGTAATCCCTATAGCTTTCAGATTGTGCTTTCAAGGAAGGGAATGTATTACCTTTTCCCCTGGCGAAGGTGCAGATGTGATGGTGGTACCTGGAGGAGCTATCTTAGACTAGCTATCTTTACAGTTGGCAGAGCAACAAGATATAAGGAAACTCAGCCCCTGACCAATTCATGGATTTCATGGGAAAGAGCTATTGTAACAGTTGAGAACCAGAGAGAAAATGCAATTCTATAACAGCAATCACTTATAAGTAAAAGGATTCAAACAAAGTTGGCTCTACAACAGCATTACACTTATATGGAAAGCTCAAAATACCATAAATAGGAAATGCATTTACCAGTAACATCTGTACAGTTGTCATCTGAATCAGACTCCCCAGGATCAAATACTTGGATCCCCTGCGCTTGTAGCCTCTGAAGTTTGCTCTCCAACTCTCGCTTGGCTCTCAATAAGTCCTGAATTTCATTTTCTTTGGTCTCCCTAAAAATCTTTGAAAGGATTTAAATTTTGAAACTTTTTCTATAATAAAAATCCTTGTGTCTTCAACGTTTAAGGACAAAGCTTTCATTCATTTGGTCCTTGATCTCTTCTTTTGTAGGATAAATAATCTGAATACCTCCATCTCAGTTTTGTAACTGGAATCCACTGGAATTCCAGCAAGATGCACATCTGTGGTGTGGGGCTGTCTTGTGCTCTGCCTAATATTTAGCAAGTCTGTCCCCCCACTTCCACTAAATGCTAGTAATAGTAATACCCTCCCAGCCCATAGGGCATGGCTCAGTGGTTGAGCGTCAGCCTTTGAAGCAGGAGGTCACTGTTTGATTCCCAGTCAGGGCACATGCTGGGGTTACGGGCTCGATCCTTAGTGGGGGGCATGCAAGAGGCAGCCGATCAATTATTCTCTCATAGTTGATCTTTCTAACTATCTCTTCCTCTCCCTTCCTCTCTAAAAATCAATAAAAATATATTTAAAAAAGATGCCCTCCCATACAAAACATCCCCAGAGAAACACTCCATTTTTTCCCAAAATCTTATTAAAATGGGGGGTTACGGGCTCGATCCTCAGTGGGGGGCATGCAAGAGGCAGCTGATCAATTATTCTCTCATAGTTGATCTTTCTAACTATCTCTTCCTCTCCCTTCCTCTCTAAAAATCAATAAAAATATATTTAAAAAAGATGCCCTCCCATACAAAACATCCCCAGAGAAACACTCCATTTTTTCCCAAAATCTTATTAAAATGTTCACTTTTATACCTTTCCTTTGAAATTATCTCAAGTTTATCAGGAAATGAAAAGGTGTCCTACTCTAGTTCTTCTAAGTTTCAATGACTCCTACATCACTTATACCACGTATTCATTGAAGCATTATATGAACTTTGAAAATATGTAGTTTTTACTCCACTTCACTTTGAGGATAAAAATGGAAAAAATACCTTGAATTGCCTTTTAACTTTATCTCTGTCATGTTCAAATGTAGCTGCCCTTTCCATTGCTTGGTATTTGGCTTCTAAAGCACTCTCCTTTTCCCGAAGTATCTTCTGATAAGTTTTTTGAAGTGCCTGGAATAATTTATCTTGTTATTTCTAAAAATCATAGTATTCTTCCCAAATTTTACATTATCTTACATACATATTACATATCTTAGAATTTTAACTACTTACTAATTTTACCAGTTATCAAGACCTGCATATTATCATTTTATTCAAACACATAATAAAACAATGCAAACATGCTTGAACTATAGTAAATGAAGACACTTCAACATTACACTTTCAATGGAAAATATTTTTTCTTTACTGTACCAGCTCTTCATCCTACACCTCAGTTTCCTGATCTTTAAGAGAACATAAAGTATAATTTCTAAGCTTAACTTGCAAGATAATTCTGTAATTCTAAGAGACCACGTGCTCATTGCCTCCATGTCTTACTCATCTTGTTATCTGCAGACCTCCTTCACTTAATGTCTGACTGAATGAATTAAATAAATACACAAAAATATTTTTAATGCCTACACATGTGAGAAGGGAATCAAAAGGATTACATAAGGAATCAGGACTGGTAACAGGAGGAAGCTGAGACTGTGGCACTTGTCCATCCCCTTACTACACTCTACCCTGGTTGGTCCAGACTTCTTTTCTACCTCCATCTCACAGTCATTCCCAATGCACAGTGCCTATTGGATAGTGGCTTGGACCCATGGAATCAGATATCTGAAATGCATACATCCATTTTATATATGCAAGTATTAAGAATGCCAATTAGGAAAACTGATAAGACAACAGATAGACTGCTGATAAATGTCTCCCCAAAAAGGGTGCTCACTATATGACAGCGAATGCAGGGTGGTGGGTTAACTAGCATGAGGAAGAATGCTTCTTCCTTTTAGAAAACTCAATCTGAGGTGCTCGCTTCGGCAGCACATATACTAAAGTCTGAGGTATTCGTTCAATTCCCAGCATGATGCACCCAGAAACACTTGTGCTGTCTAGATGTCTCTTCCATGGTAAAGAAAAAGAGAGTAAACAAACCACAACTCTCAAAGGGGCCCCAAAGTCTCACAACTCTGTTCACAGAAAAGTAATCTTTTGCTTTATATAGATTTTTAATAAGTTAAGTAGAGATCTTCTACAGAGTGGCCAGGTGATTCTTTTTTTTTTTTAGTAAATTAAATGGATTAAGGCAGTGGTTCAGGCCCAGAAATCAGGATTTTAAAAAGATTCCCAGGTGATTCTAATGTTCAGCCAAGGTTGAGAACCACTGGATTAAGGGAACTTGACTACACCCCAACCACACCAGTTAAGATGATGAAAATCAGGGGCTTCCAGAATTTTCTGGAATGTGAAGTCTAAAACATTTCACTCCAGGGTCATTAAAACCCAAGAGCAATGGAACTTCACAAAGAAACGGAGACATAACACCCCACTGTGGAGGTAGGTAAAATTCTAGGGGGGAGAGGGGGAGTTAAAAACTCCTGGGAAAGCTTTGAGGAGTTGCTCCAACAGATGTCATCTAAGTCTTGTGTGCCCCTGTGAACCTGCTTCCCAAGAGCTTCATGGAGCCTGGCATTTGACACTTTCAGGCTAACGGCCTCAAGGCTACTGAATGAATGAACTAGAAATAGAAAAGGGGTGGCATTAGTTCAGAAATCAGTTTAGACAGCAAGAGAATATGTCCCTTCAAATTAAAATGCACCGGAGTTTCTGCTCAACTTTCAAAACTAGCTGGTTTGGAGAGGAGACAGGATGGGCAACGAACGAGGTCAGGCGTCCAGAGTCCAGCCTGGCAGTGTCTCCGGGCGGCTCCCGGCCATGGCAGGCCGCCCGGGCTTCACTTTGCCGGGTGTCGTGGCCGGCCTCGTTGGGCGCCAGGCCCGGAGTTACCTGCAGCTCGGCCCGCAGCCGCTTGTTCTCCGTGTCCAGCTTGGCCTCCCGGCGGCCCATGGACAGCAACTCCTGGTTCTTGCTGACCCG